TTAGTGTATTATTCATTTATAACACTCAATTTTCTCTTCCGTTATCCATGAGGTCTTGCAAAGATTTTCCACTGTTTTTATTTATTTAATGTCTAGAAAACCACAAATGCAATCTGACCAATATTACTAACCACCACCAGGTTTAACCTTCTAAAAGGCTTGACTACTCTGCTCTGTCCCCAGGCCCCAGGCTGTATTTTAACAATTATAATATCCTGTAGAAATCATAATAGGCAAAGGGAAAACAGTATCTCATTACAGTAAACATAAAACTAACCTATAATGGAGCTATTGGGAATTCTGTGGAGAAGTTCCCGCACAATCAGATTTGACCTTTGTGCTTATTATGTTTCAGAGTGGAGGTGCCAATTTCCACTGCTGGTCAGAATTTACACCCATGGCACAAAGAAAACAACAAATTAAGGAAGTCGTCATGGAACCTGGAGGAAGCAGACAACGCCAAATCCACCTTTGCCACAGGAAGTTCAAGTCCTGGAGCCAGAATGCTTTGTAGAGCTAACCAACTGCAGGCCAAAGGTGTGGCTGAAAATGCACCTAGGTAAGGGTTAGAGGACAAAGAAGAACTGTAATTGACTTTTTATCAAAATGCTGCAGGAAAACTCACAGAACTGTGGCTTGCTTTGTACAAACAGCATATGTGTACCTTTTGGCTACTCAGCTGATCAACAGCAACAAACTCACACATGAAAGGAATTAATCTCTGTACCTGTAACTTTTTTTTTCTCTCTTCCACCCTGACGACTGAGAAAAGTACTTCACAGGGACAACTTCACATGACTGCTACCCTCACTGCCCCCTGGCAGTGGCCTTTGTTCTTCTCCAATGACCCCATTAACATTTCTTTCAGTGAGGATGGTAATTGCATGATTACCAACCTTAATTATGTGTTAGATTCTTCATCCATCATTGAAGATCACTGCTGTGTGAATCTCCACATGCGGGACACGTGGTTTGAGGCACGTCTTGCTCGTGCCTGCTTCCCAGGACTTTGAATCTGTGCTGCAGGCCCCCAGGTCCTGACCACAGATGACTGGATAGAGTTGAGAATGTGGGTCAAGGGCCTTAGGCAGGCTGAGCCAACCAGGTTCTACTTCTCAGGAATTTGAACTGATGAACAAAGATGCAGTTTCCTTCAATGGTAGGAGTCCCTTATGTGCCAGGAGGGTGAAGAGTAGGGGATAGAGGTGGACAGAAACAAAGAGAGGAAAGGAGAGAGGGAACATGTAGAGTGAGGCTGGGAAATCTTAAGCAATGAGATCATCTGTCACATGGACTACAAGAGATGCAGCTGGAAACCTTAATTCTTGGATCTCTAGGTCACAGCAACTTCCAGGACCAGCTGTGCTTCCCACCCTGTCTCTCTGTGGGATTCTCCCTACCAAACACACCTGAATGGTTTTTCTCTCCCCACAGCCTAACCTGCTTGAACAGAATCTAAAGTATGTTAGAAACTTTATTACTTGCATTTCTGGCAGGACCAATGTTAGCTCAGGCAATATTTCATACTAATCATAAAGAAGCAACCTAAGCTTGTAAACATCTGCTGTGCACACAAAAGGCCCACATGGAATTGGAATTCCTGGATTTGCTCAAAGCTTTCTTAATGTAGACGTTTAGTCTGTGCCCTGTCTTCAGCCCACCATCTACGAGGCCTGCAAAGGCCAAGCACAGCGTCTGTCTTTCAGAGGTGTGAAGACCGGCGGGAACCAGGGTATGATGCATGTGTCTGGGCTAATACAGTCTGGTGGGGAGACCATTACATGCCTCCTGTTGTTTTAGAACTCCCTCCCAGCCTCCTTGCTGCCAAAAGGTATTTCCTCTGTGTTGGTGATAAGCTTATCTAGGACTTCATTTTTCCTGACCTCAGATGTGCCTTGGGCGTGTCCTTCTGTTTCTAACTTTGATATACATTTGAGGTGAACTCAAGTGTCCCTGCCACAGCTGTTCCAATTCAAGCTGCCCATGCCCTTGCTTCCTGTTTGTCACACCAGCCTGACCCTACGTTGTTGTCTCCAACCTGGGACCTGCAGGGAGGCTCTGTGGCATCCAGACCAGGGTCAGGCCTCTTCCTTAGTCAGTGGAATGTGGCATATGTGTTCCCTGGACACCTTCAGGTTCTTTCTGTTCATTCTTAGGAGTCCATGACCCCAGTAAATAATATGCTTTTCATGAGCCATCTTTGTTTAAGACCCTGCTTCTGGGTGAACTCAATGTCCTTGGTTAATTTTAACCTCGCTAGAGACAATGTTAGTAAAAATTGGTTTGACCTCTGATATCTATTGTAGCCATTCCATAGGTCACACTGACTTGATGAATATGTCAGGATATCCCAACTTTCAGGAAGCTCCTCTCCCCAGGACTACATCTAAAAACTTGCTCTCTTTAAGCCACAGATCAATAAAAATAAATTTCAGGGGAAAATAATTGCATTATTAGATTCTTTGGTTCTTTAAGAAGTAACAGGTGAACTTGGCTCTCATAAACTTGCAGTTCAGAATTCAACTATTTGTATGAACATTGTTGTAGTCACAATGACGTAAGACCTACATCCTTTCCCACAGGAACCTGAAAACCAGTAAAGAAATAAAATGTGATGATGAAGATTTTTGTTATGCACAAAGAACTGATATAAAAATGAGATTCTTGCTGATTTCTGCTAAGAGAATGTAGAAATCTATGAAAGCCTTCTCAGCTAAGTACCACCTACTGCAAATGTAAGCTGATTCAAGGACCTCTGCCAAGCGGGCCTTTTATGCAAGTGTTGACTTTAAACAAGTAATCAGATGTTTCTCCAGTAAAATGGATTTATTTGGGAATAGCAAAGAATTACAATTCAGGACATACTTCTAATGGTGAACTATGTGCAAGTCCAGAGAAACAAAGGAGAGGAATGCTTTTTGGACTTGGGAAGGGCTGTTGTAATTGAAGGGTCCACTGGAGGAAACTGTCAGTTGGAACTGCAGGGACCCTTTGTGGGCCGAGTTACGGCAGTCTCCCATTGGCTGAGTCGTTACTAGGTGAGAAGGAATTTTTTCTTACCCCTGCTGGGTAGTAATGTAGTGTCACTTCCTGTTGGAGATGCAAAGTACCTACATCTCTTCCTGTTGGGGCCAATGGTGTGCACTGAGTGATGTTTATAAAAGTGTTCTCTCTTCTAGCCGACTCCATTTAATGTGAGGTTTCTGTTTATTCATTTTCACACAAGTCAGGAAAAGGTGTCCCCACTAGTCCAGACTTGGTCAGTGAACTCATCTTTGTTGGTAGAAAAAGACACCCTTTGCTCCGGGGCAATGATACCCCCTCCCTCAAGGGCCGTGGCTGTAAGGGCAGATCCCAGCCCCCATTCACTTCCTCTGTCAAGTGCCCTGAGCAAGGCACACACTGCACAATTCCAAGCAGCAGCCTTGTTTGGACAAAAAAGGAAGGATGGAGTGAGGGAGGGAGAGAAGGGGAGGAAAGAAAGGAAGGAGGGAGGGAGGGAGGGATTGCCTCCCACCTCCTACTCCAAACCCCCAGACAAATAACATCAGAATCTATTGATTCTGGCCTGAACCTCTATCTCAGTGCTACTGAAGTGTGCTTTATGGACCAGTGTCACGTTGCAAACTCTTTGTCTCCAGTCTTCAAGAGTATGTACAGGAAATGAGGAAGTGTTTGAAAACTTTCATAGCAATTTGATCTTGGTGCAATATTTTAACTGTATTTTACAAAAGTGCTAGTCTGCAAGGGTTGGGAAATTTTTAAAAACATGACCATCATCACAGAGAGTTTTAAAAGACTGCTCTGTCACAATTGATTTGCACAGAGAAAAAGCCATTTTACATCCTGCTCTAAAAAAAGAATCATATGGTGTTTCCTTTTCCTGTATGGCACATAGAGTTTCAATTTACTTGCACTTAAGGCATACAGTAGGGACAGCCAGAAATTCAACTCTGTAAGTAGTGGTTTCATGAGCACACTGAAGTGCTCCATTATTACCTTGTGATATATAAACTGAGTGGAAAAATTAATGTTTCTCACTTACCATTAGCTGATTAATGAATTAAACATATATCAAATATACACTGGTACTGAGTTTTTCTTTTAGTCTATTCAGCATGTTTAATTTTAGCTAAAGGCAGCTTCTGATAAGAGAGATAAATGTTAATCTTCTCTATTTACCTACAATGACATGAATATTTTATAGCAAACATCATTTTCAATATGCATCACTTCACCTCTGCTCATTTTTTTAATGGAGTCATAAATGTGTCTATTTGGAAACACACAATTTAAGTTCTGGAACAGTCAAGCAGCCTTTCAGGTCTCCATCCCAGCTGTTAGTTTGCACCAGCCGCTTCCGATCATCTGTCCTTGGGGTCCTTTTGCAGTCCAACAGAGAAGCCAGCCCCCAAGGGAAGTCTGTGCACAAAAGCCGAGACTTGACAGGTACTACAAGTAGATTCCAAGTTGCTTTCCTGATTTTGTCTTTGGGGGTGGCAGTATGACAAGAAATGGGCGAGGAAAGCCTCAGACTTTGTGCTTGTCCTTATAAATTTGCTGATGTATGACAAGGCGCAGTGGAGGAAGTCATGCACTGTCCATGAAGCGCTCTGGCGTTAGTCATCTGACCCTTGTTCCAGCTTCTCAAGCATGTGGGTGAGCAAAACAAAATTGTAAATTGCTCTGCTGATCCTTAGTTTTAACTACTGATCTCAGTTTGGTTCCATCTAGATACTGTGTCTGAGGTTTTATAATTTAGGAACAAGTAAATATTCTTTGTTTACAAATAGGCTATTTCAATGGAAAAATATTTCCGTATTTCAGGAATGCTTCTTACAACACATTTCTGGTTTAAATAAACTACTTGTACAGAAATGTCTTTTACAACCCATCTAGACTAAGCTGAAAATACTTAAAGCAAACATTTTTTTTAATTTTAGAAAATTCTCTTGACTAAACTTTCCAAATTATTATTAAAAATAAGATACACTGGTGGCATTAACATGACTTAAAAAGCAATCTAAGATCTGATGAAATTGAGTATAAGGACCAAGAGATCAATTATACACAGAGACTCATTTTCTTAAAACCAAGAATGTTATTTTACATCCTACGTGTAGTCCAATCATCTGTGTTGGCTGGAGCCACATTCGTCATGAAGCTCTCATTTCCTCACACACACCCTACAATCTTCACAGGAAGATGTATGGCATAATTTAGGCTGTGCTATGGGGCACTTCAGTCTAGGGGCTGTTGAATATGTGAGTGAGTGGTTTTTCCATTATTTATAAACCATGTTGATATTAAGCATCAACGTAATCCACACACCTTTATTTTCTTGGCCTCCAGGAGTATGGCAGGATTAAAGCTAAAGTGAATTTAGGGAAGACCTGACTATTTTGAACAGATAACATAGAAGGGACTGTGCAGTTTGGGCCCACTTAATTTTGTGTCTGACCATAAAAACATTGTGATGAAAATAGAATTTGAAGAAAACAATAGCTAGAGAGAAAAGTATACCTAAATATAGTCAATACTTAGGTAATGCAGCAATAGTCAACTCATGACAGGCAACCCCAATAAACTGTTAAAAGTTCAGATCCATAAAGCTATATAGTTTATTTTAAAATTTTACACAGCAACAAGTCTTAAGCAGTGTGAAACACATTCTTATAAAAAGATCACACAGCTTTAGCAACTTGCTATTTAAAACTAAGATGACTAAATTAGTCACCCTTTATTCAAATTTGTACAGGTTTTCACATATCAGGTTAGTTATCAACCTAAAAAGATTTATCTCCTTTAAGATGGAATGCCCAGTTTCAGAGTACTCAGAAGTTAAATAGTTTCCTCCCCAAGACCAACCAGCTTAGACAAAATTAAATTGGTCTTTCTCTGATCTCACTAAAATATGAAAAAATCATCTGATACATAACAGTAACAAATACTTCCATCCATGGGGATAGTGTTCCTAGGATGAAGCCAGAAGCTACCTGTGGCTATTTTTTTACCTTGGAGATGAAGTAAAACCTGATTTGCCTGACCCATGTGGTCACCTAAACTTCCCTTATATTGGACATCTGGATTATACTACAATCCTGGATTGACGTGGAAATAATTACATTGGGTAAGGAGATGCAAGGTGAATGGAAATATACAAATGCCAGGTAGGTACCTGGATAGCTGCACTGGAGCCGTAAGTCCAGAGCAGCAATTCTAGGATCATCATTCACAGCCTGCTGCGGGCTCTCATCATGTCTGCTTGTGAACACAAAGGGTAGAGTTCATTTTTCCAGGTCCTAGTAACGCGTCAAGGGGACAACTGCCAACAGTGTCGATTAAATGACGGGGTTGTGCAAAACCATAGACACTACCAAGCAGAACAGGTCAGCAGAGATCAATTAAGAACTCCTGTTTGTTTGTGCGGTGTTCAAAGTAATGCAAAACCCCTTGGTTTAAGCTCATTACTCTCCAACCAGAAAACAAAATGACAGAAGGTGTAATACAATGCATGGCTGGACACCTGCCTTTCGTAGTACATACAGGTGATTACCCTCATTAAAAAGTCTGAATATTATTTTCATACACCAGCATTTAACATACCTTTTTTAAGTGATTTTATTTATTTTTTAGAAAGAGAAGAGAGGGAGAAAGAGAGAAACATCAATGTGCAAGAGAAACATTGATAGACTGCCTCTCCCGACCAACTATTCAGGCATGAGGCTTGACCAGGAACGGAACCAACAACCTCTTGGATCACAGGCTGGCACTTAATTCATTGAGCTACACTGGCCAGGGAAACATACCTCTTTTTTATTTATAGTAGAAACTATTTGAAAAAAAGTGAGAAAACGTCAGCCTCAAACACATTAAGGAAGCCAGTTCTTAAGAGGGGTTTGTAACTTAAAAGTTAGTTTGCATTTATTGAAATTCACAACAGATTTAACAAAGTACCTCCAAAATAAAGATTACCAAAATAAACTAGAAAAGTATTTACAAAATAAAGATAACCAAAAATTAGTTCACCTGAGTTATTGTCAATCGTTGCTGTAACACATTACCACAAACTTAGTGACTTAACACATATTTATTATCTTACAGCCCTCGAGGTCAGAGGTGTGATGCAGGTCTCACTGGGCTAAACTCATGGTGTTGGCAGGGCCGTGTTCCTTCCCGGAGGCTCCAGGTGAGAATCCATTCCCTTGCCTTTTCCCGCTTCCAGAGGCCACGCCTGCATTCCTTGGCTCGTGGTTCCTTCCTTCATCTGCAGTACCAACATGTTGCATCTCTCTACCGTCCTTCTGGATTTCTCATTTCCCTCTGACTATGCCACTCTTCCAATTCCCCCTTGTGCTTTTAAGGACCCTTGTGATTATATTGGATTCACCTGGAACACTCAGTATACTCTCCCTAAAACAAGGTCAGTAGATTAGTACCTTAATTCTACCTGCAACTTGATTCTCCTTTGCCGTTTAACCCAACATATTCACAGATTCTGGGGATTAAGATGTAAGATATTTCTGGGAAAGGGGGAGGCAGGCATGATTCTACCCATGACATATTAAATACACATGTTAATATACCGCAAGTTAATATTTTCATTCATTTACCTTAATCTACAGAATTTATCTTTTTTATCTATATAAAATGTATTAAGCTGGCCAGATGCAACAATAACAAAAAATATAAAGAGATATAAAACAAATTGTACATTACAAAGTAGTGATTATTTGTGTGTATGTGTTCATATGTGTATATATAAAACTATACATGTATACATATAGGTATGTGTGTATGTATACACCACCCTCCATCATTTTATAATTTTATAATCAAATGGTTCTAGAAAATCAAGATACCATAAAGATTCCTGGAAAGGTAATGCTTATAAAATAAGGCTATGTTTATGAGGATCCAAAATCAACTAAAGGCAAGATTCTTAAAAAAGATTGTAAAAGTTAGACACAAATTCATTCTTTCTAGGTTAGTCTTTTTCCTACTCGTTTTCTTCTCCATTTTTTCCTGTTGTTGTTTTTGTCCAAATTAAATGTTCTCATTCTCTTAAAAGCCCCCATATGTGAAGTGACTGTAGCTCTTATGAACAAGGTCAAACCATGAACCCACAAATATATTAGTGCAGCTGCTTTGGAGGGAATCATTGAAAAACAAAGAAAAAGCCATGTGTGCACTGCTGCATCCAGTGTACCTGTAATTCTGGAGAAGGTCCTAATTCCTTCAGTGGCTGCGACACCAGCTTTGGTTTTCCTAGAACACTTTACTTGCCAGCGTGACTACTGTCACTGGCGGGTATCCGGTCCACGCCAGACTTAAAAGACGGGAATGTGGTAGTGGCGGTCATTCTCAGTCAGCAGGGAGATCTCAGGCCACTCCCTGAGTGGCTCCTCTGGGTAGCAGACTTCAAAGTCCCTGGAGTTAAACTTGAACAGTCTGAACACTTTTATCTTGACTTCAAGTGCATATCCAAGTATAAACATATCAATCTGGGAAAGAGATGAAAGAGAGATCACAATACACATTTCCAAATTCCTGCCCTCTCACCAGTGCGGGAGCCTGTTCTTCGGCAGCTTGTGAAATAATGCACTTATTTACAGACCCACACATGAACTACTGAGTGGGCATGGATTAGGAACAAATGTCCATTATGTGGAAGACGGGACAAGCAGAGGAACACCTCTCTAGACTAGCATGAAGAAATCACAGGGAAAGCTATTTGGAAAAAAAAACTAATACAAAAAATAAAGGAATGCTTGTAATAAAAATTACGTTGTTTTCCGCTCTGGCTGGTGTGGCTCAGTTGGTGGGAGTGTCGTCCCGTAACCGAAAGGTCACAGGTTTGATTTCTGGTCAGGACACATGCCTAGGTTGTGGGTTCAGTCCCCCATCCAGCACAATCAGTGTTTCTCTCCCTCTCTCTCCTTCCCTTCCCCTCTCTCTAAAAGCAACGACCATACCCTCAGGTGAGGATAAAAAAACTTTTTTAATTTTAAAAAGTACACTTCTGACCAGTTTTATATCATTTTAAATCAGTTTGCGTAAAAAGTTCAGATGATTTTGTGCACCTCCTAGGAAAGCGAAACAAAACAATAACCCTTTTCCACGGGGACATAAAAGCATTTTCTGGGTTTAAAAAAATTAACATCTATTTATCTGCAGTAAGTAACAGAATGCTTTCCCCAACTTTATCTCATTTTCCAACTGGGATTTCTCCTGGTTAACCTTTGTTGTGGGAGCCTATTATCAACTGAGAAGCAGCGTGCAAGTCAGAAAGATGACCGAGCACGGGTGTCCTTCAGCCACACGTCAACCAGCTCAGAGCAATGAGGCTGTTACCCTTCTTTTCTGCATTTCAGGGGCAATAATACCAACCCGCCACTCTGTGCCGCTGGTCTTATCACTGCTGAAAGCAAACACCAAACACCTACATGTTCAAGTACTGCCAATATCATCCTTGATCAAACACACACGATTCTTCTGCCCCATGTACCTGCTCTAGTCCACATGTGTCGCCTACAGAATTTAGGTGATTCATCATGAAGCTCAAAGGATCAGGTGATGTTTCCCGGGAAAACAGGAGTCTGAAAAGACTGGGAATGACCTTTTTCATCTTCATTTGTTCATAAACTTCAGTGACTTGATATAGCATGATGAACTTTAAAGCTTCATACAGTTTGTATTCCAGGATGGCATTAGAGAAAAGGATGTTGCACATACATCCTCTCTTGTGATAATCTTTAATCCCACTGAACTCAGTCCACTAAAGACACAGACATAACAGTGAAATTTCGAAGGGTAAGGATAACACATACAGCACTGCATAACTCTTGAAGTACATACAATACTTATAAAATAAAACAAAGATTAACAGAGGAAAATGGAACTTTCACTTTTCATTTTATATATTTTGATGTGGATATTTTTAACCATAAGCATATATTGCTTTTACAATATCAAACTAGTTTTGGTAAAATATTTTTTCACAAAACACCCACCCGCTAGGTAAAACACTAAGTGAGTCAGTTTCCTAACACTGCTTCAGCTGGCTGGGCTGCCCACAGGCTGCTCCGGCGGCCAGCAGTGCCTGCCAGCCTTTAACAGCCGCCGCACGCCGGGCACAGTGTAAGGCACACTCTGCGTGTGTTAGCTCACTGAATCCTCACAAGAACCCTACAGGGTAGATACCATGTATAGTTCAGTTTTACAGATAAGAAAACTAAGGCCCAGAAAGGTTATGGTGATTCCCAAAGAGGATTCATTCCAACAATCCAAAAATCTGTTTTTATTAGAAGACAGGAAAAACTGCTCTGAGTCAAATTATAACATCTTTGCTGTTGCCAAGTTATTAATAGGGCACATTCCAGGAGGGCATTTCTGAGTGCCTTGTCTGGAACTTGTACCTCATTTCTCTGAGGAAACAAAGGTAAGTGATTGTTAAGATTTCCAGGCCAGCCTGCAACGGGCCTCTTAGCCCACAAAGGGCCTAACTATTGTATCATGTAGAACAACAGTGCTCTCATCCACCACTGGAAGGAGAATGAAGATCAAGGGGAAGGAATCTCAGTAACTCGAGGCAGCACTTCAGCCTGCATTTCCTACTTAACGAACACCGAGTGATGTGCCTGACATCAGAGACAAGGGGCGACATATGGGACAAGGGCGCTTTCATTCCTAGCCTTTTACCCCAGCCACCAAACACTCACCTGTGTTTTCAGCAATTCCACACATTTACGCAACTTTCCAAACACATTTGAACCTGTGTACTTCTCAGGACCAAAACTGTATTGCTGGATCCAATTACAACCTTGTGAAAAGAGCAGTTTCTCAGGAAGCTTGAAAAAGAAGATGCCAACGATGGTTAGTATCTCAACATTCATTACACACGATTGGGAATATGTCAGATACACTTCATTTCATTTAGCAATCTTCATTCTAAAAGACTATAACTGCAGCTAAGGAAAAACATATAGTCATTTTCTTTCAGACTTGTGGATTCCATGATTTGGATCATATTCTTCATTCACAATTTCACAACTGATGAAAACATAAATATAAGATTAAGTCTATAGAGATAATCTTTTGGGGTAAAACACTTCCCACACTACCTAGATATAGCCCTTTAGAACTTATTTTCAACCAGACCATGTTAGACCAACACAGCCCATCTGGGAATAGGTGGGTTTTGGAATGATGCACATAGGGGTTCAAACCCAGCACCGTCACTCACCAGCTGGGAAACTACTCAACCAGCAGATTATTTAACGGCTCAGCCTCATTCTCCACTGTAGATCAAGGACAACTTTACAGGACTCTGGCTGGGGTTAAATAAGATTATCGGACACATGAGAATCTGATCCATCATAGGCATCCAGTGCATTTCCCACCCGATTCAGCTTGTGCCACTCAGGGCCCTGGGTGTAGCCTCTGTCACCAGCAATGTGCAGCAAAGCTGGCACACTGCATACCCTGGACAAGTCATTTGCAAGATAAAATAAAACTAATAAAAACAACACTAAACTAAAAATGGTAAGGAAATGGAACATGTGTAGCTACATATATATAAACATACATTTTATATTTCTTTGCTCCTCCAGCTTAAATGTACATCCTAGATTAGGCATACTGCATTCAAAATAGAAATTCAGGTCATCACCAACAATGTATTGGCTTACACTGTTAATAAAATGAAAAACAAGGAAAGGACTGGAAGAAAATATCTGTAAGTCACATATATGATAAAGTATTTGCATTAAAAATATATAAAGAATTCTCAATACCCAATCAATAATGAAAACAAAACAATAAAAATATGGGCAAAAGATCTGAACAGACACTTCTTCAAAAAGAAAATATGGCAAATAAGCAGAGAAGAAGATGTTCAACATCATAACTCATCAGGAGAATGCAAACTAAAAGCACAATGATACTAACACACATCTATTAGAATGGCTGAAACAAAGACAAAAACAAAAATAAATAAACAAAAAACCCCAACGATACAAAGTGCTGGTGAGAATGGAGCAACTGGGATTCTGACACATTTGTGGGGTAGAGACATCTGAAAAATGGTTTGGCAGGTTCTTATAAAATACACATACACCTACCATAAGACCCAGCAATCCCTCCAAAAAGGAATGAAAACTTATGTGCATATAAAATCCTATATGGGAATATTTCTAACAGCTTCATTCACAGTATTAACTGCCACATTCATGTCAAGGAGCACCACTCAACAATAAAAAGGAATGAACAGCATATTCACCGACCATCTGGATGAACTGCAAATTCATTATGCTAAGTGAAAGCCTTCGGTTCAAAAGGCTACACTTGGCATATAACAGTCTAGGAAAGGCAAAACTACAGGGACAGGAGACACTGGTTGCCTCCAGTGTTGCCAGGAGATGGGCGTGAGAGAAGGCCTGACTGTGAAGGGAAACGAGGGAACGTTTGGGGTAGTGGTTACACACTGTATTTGTTAAATCTCAAATAACGCTAGAGTAAAAAAGTGAATTTCAGTAGACGACCTTACTTGTAAAGGACAGATGCCCCTCTCAAGAAAAGACGATGGCATTAAGACAAACAGAACTGAGTAGGACTATCTTTCTGAGATGGTCTGTTGGCAAACTGGCATGACAGACTGAGGGCCTGGTCGGTGGTCCCCTCAGAGTTCCTTCAGTCTCCAGGCTCCTGCGCACAAAGATGCCCACAGAAAGCCCAGAGCGGCTGTGCTCCTGTTGTCGCCAAGGAGACTCACAAGTGTTTCCAGTGTGAGCACATACCTTAACAATGTCTTTCTCCTTCATCCAGGATGGAAAAGAAAGGCCCTGGCTGAATATCTGAAATAACACGGATCTTAGTGCATCGTAGTTATCTCTCTTTACTTGTCGGACACATTTAATATGACGCCGCCAAAACAGCTCCTCATAAGCCTATTAGCACAAAAATTGAAAGTTGTTTTTTAATTCCACTGGATAAGAAAGAAGGAAAGTGCTTTCAATGTATTGTCAATGGAGCGTACTCCTAAATAAAGCAGACAACAGAAATAAAACAATTATAAACTATGAATTGGACCACATGTCATTTCATGTCATTTTGTGTGTAGAGAGACAAGGGTCCCATGCTCTTCTAGACAGTAAGTTCCTGGAGCCCAAGGCCAGGGAATGTCACTGCAGGGAGATCACGGATACAGCTTGATTACAGTGAAAAATACTGTTTACTTTAAAACTATGCCAAGGACTATTTTACACATACCACCTTTTTTTTTTTTTCCTTTTGCCAGTGACAAGGTTGGGTAGCACTGCTGGAAATATTTACCAAGACTGAACCAATGGAAAACTCTAAAAGTTCTCAAAATATTTTTGTCAAGGGGCCAAATCCCTTCAAGGACAGAAGTCTCCCTTACATGTGCAGAGGTTTAATAGGCCTGGCCAGGAGAGAGCTGAAAAGAGTAGCTTTCTAGTTTTTGAAACTCACAGACTGAATTTACCCCGGTCCTCAAAGGCACTTGCTATGGGTAAAAGGCCTAAAGCCAATGTCCAGCAGCTGTTTGACTTTTAAATTAGAGCCACGGTTGTCCCTTCTGTCACATTCAGTATCAGTCTTTGGATCATAAAGCAGAGCAGAAGATTCGTTTACACACAAATTCTCCATCTTCCATGACGTTTACAAACAGACAAACCTTCCTCATCAGCTTGGCACGGGGCGTCTCCCCTTTCCACTCTCTTGCACAATAGCTGAGTAAGTCAACTTCCGCCTCTACGCTGAGGTTCCCTGAATCAAATCAAAGATAAAAGGTAGTTAATTTTCCCTTTCCTCTTCCTTCTTGAACCCTCTCCACACTTTAACAATAAGGAAAGATGCATGTAAAAATACTTACTTTTGAATTTTCTTTGCAGATATCCACTCCACCTAAAAGAAAAAAGAAACAATACTACTAAAATTCTACCTTCATAGCAAGAATATTTTAGAAATCTGAAGACGATGCAACCACCTACCATTTTAGCCGGTGTCCTAAGTGTAAATTCAGCCTCCTGAAGTAGCAGAGGGTGGCCAGCAGCAATGAAACTGCCAACATCACGGAACCCTTTGCTATTCCCCACGCAGTATCTAAGGCTTGGCTGGTGACTAGTGTCCAGGAGTGAACTTGGTCATTTCCTACAAAAATTTAATTTAAAAAATCACATCACAATTACACAAGTCTGCATTGTTTGGGGTCGGGGGGAAGGTACATTGGATAATTTTATCTGCAAAGTGACTACGGCTGACTTACATAAACATTTTTAAAGCATTCAAAAATGCAATCTGAAAATTAAAGAAATACCTAGTTCCCCTATAATCAGGGTCATATATAAGAATGTCTTTGTCCCCAAAATTCAGGAGGAAGAGTAACTATAAAGAATGTAGGTTTCACAATCCCTCAAACCTGAACTCAAAGCCCACTTCTTCGACTTTTCTAGCTGTGTGATTGTTGGGGACACCTACCTTCTCTTACCCTGACTTGTCTCAACTGTGAAATACAGATAAAGTACAGACCTCACTGGGGAAAGAGCGGATGAAATGATTTGAGAACCAGCACAGTGTGCCGTGCCCTATGCTGAGTATCTGTTGAAGAAGGGTGCCACCCTATCCACTTCTGTCCACTTTGATATTCTTTTTTTATAGTATATTTTATTGATGATGCTATTACAGTTGTCCCATTTTTTTTCTCCCCTCCATCCCCCTCTGCCCTGTACTCCCTTCTCTCCAGCATCCCCCCACTTAGTTCATATCCATGGGTCATACATGTAAGTTCTTTGGCTTCCCCATTTCCTATACTATTCTTAACCTCCCCCTGCCTATTTTGTGCCTACCAATTGTGATTCTTATTCTCAGTACCTCTTCCCCCATTTCCCCCCCCATTCCCCTCCCTGCTGATAACCCTCCATGTGATCTCCATTTCTGTGATTCTGTTCCTGTTTTAGTTGTTTGCTTCACTTGTTTTTGTATTAGGTTCAGTTGTTGAGAGTTGTGAGTTTGTTGTGATTTTAATGTTCCTAGTTTTGATCTTCTTCTTTTTCTTAGATAAGTCCCTTGAACATTTCATATTTGGGCCATAACATACGGCATTCACCTTACCACACAGAACCAGCAACTCAAACAGCAGGCACACAGACATCACTTCCAGCAAGCAGCCCCTTAAAAGAAGAGTCTTGAGACAGAGGTAGATGTGCTAATTTACGGTACATGCTCTCAGGCCTGATTTGACAGGAGGGAAAATGATGGGGCCTGAAGAGCTCAAACTGGGCACTTGAAATATTTTGCTAAGTGCAGGAGATTCCTAATGATATCTTGTAGAAGCATGTAAAAATGCCAAAGCACAAATGAAGAGGACGTCTGGGATTCACTGTGAATCGGTTTCCTCCAAAGAACAGGGTTTAGCAAAATCCCAATGACTAATATAGTAACAGCCTCATCGATTTGGAATCTATGCTTTTAGTATTTTTGATCATCTTTGATGTGCACTTACACTCTCAATAAAGAATTTACCAGGAGTTAAAGAAGTGAAAAAAGTCACCAGCAAATAAAAATGCATATTTTTTATTTTATTACTTAAAAAGACATTTTCAAATACAGGTGTTTATTGTTTAGGGTTAGATATTCATTATAGACCTACTCCCACCTAGAAGTTTAGTAAAACTTTTTATAAATTGTTTAAAAATGTAGAGCTATACTGCTTTTACACCTGTAATTTAGACTCTTTTAATTTTGTCTGATTTCCCAACTTTGAAAGGTTTGGCATATGCAAATATTTTTAGTAAGTCCTTAAATTCATGGAAGAACTAGAATATAGTCTATGATACATAATTTTTCCTACTTTAGTCATATACATTTTCTAGAAACATGCAATATCGCATAAGATAGTACAGTTTGTTTCTTCTCTTCATATCTTTGTCGTATCAAATTATAAGTTGAACATCTTTTCATATCACTACATATAGATCTATATTATTCTTTTTAAAGGCTGCATAATATTGCAGTGTAAAGACAGACCATCACCTCCGTAATCATTGTCTAATTACTAAACATTGCTTGCTTCCATATTCCACTTATAAACATGGCTGAGACAAACACTCTCCTCCAACAGTCCTTGTGGTTCATGGAAGCTCTTAGGATAATTTCAAGAAGAGGATCCTCTGGGCCAAAGGGTTTGCACATTTTCAGTGTTGACAGATGTTGACAAAGTGCCTTCCAAAACAACACTGCCAATTAACAGTCCCTCCCCAGGTACTGAAGCGCCTAGTTCCCTGAACCCCACACCAGTTATGGATTCTCACGGCAGCCTGCATTTCTGAATAACACACTCTCATTTCTTCCTTTGTGAAGAGCCTTTCAGAGCATGTCTGCTTCCCACTGGGTGGGGCTCATCTGTATGTGGACTTGGAGGGCTCCCAGTCTCTACCTCAGAGCCTTGCTGCCACCCTCGGTGGAGCACTGCCTCCCTCCAACCCGCTGAATTCCTCCAAGTCACCATCCGGCCCCTAGGGCATTTGATCTGAGACCCCAAACTAGGGCCTTCTCCTGAGCATGCAGCCTGCTCTGCAGCTGCGCAGGGCCTCCAGGAAGGCCCACTGCAGACCACGGCTCTCCCTGCTCCTGCGTGTGCACATACACACTCACTCTTCCCTAGCCTACTTCCTTTATCTTCAGAATGAAACCCTGCCCACAGCCCAAGAAGGGCTGATAGTATCAGCATATCAGGAAAACAAAAACAAAAACAAAAACAAAAAAACCCTTGAGGCTCAATACCCTCTTCCCAGCAAGCTCGAACAGAGGCCTGAACTCCCGGCTGCCTCCTACCTAAGGTATCCACAGTTTTTGGTCAAATGACTCAAGCCAAGAGGAGCCAGGGAGCAAAATCGTGGGGGCTGGTGTGGGTACCAAGGAGCATCTGGAGGCAAACTCAGGAAGCCACGTGTGTGCAGGCTGCTCCCTTCACTCCCTGCGGCTCTGGCCTGGCCACAGGGCTACACTCTGGATCTCATGGATCTGACGCAAGAGCCCCTTCCTGGCAGGTACACTGACAGCAAATCACAGACAATCATGAGGTGCCCACAGATGATGTTATCAGGAGAGGGCTTCTGAGTCAAAGGAGAGGAGGTATTGTACGATGTTTCAGTAGGAAAAGGTATGGCTTCACCGATCATCAAAACAGCTACAGTTTGAGCTTCTGCTATGTGCCAGCCCGTTCGCTAAGACTTTCACAGGGATTATCTCATTTGCTCTGGAGCCCCATGGTGTGGGTCCCATCCTGGTCCTGCACATACACTGGGTGAGGGCCGTCACCTCCTAGGCGTCTGTTTCTTAACCTGGAGATGGGACGGTAAAAAACAGTGAGGTCCTAGCGGTATCTGCCTCTTAGAACTGTTGTGACCGGTGAAGGATGTAATGGGGGAAGCACTGAGCACGCCATTATATCTGGCACACTGTAAGCACTCAGTAAGTGGTCGTTATTATTTTTATCGCTATTACGCTACTCACTCTTATTTTTTAAATGAGAAAACTGTGAGGGACAGAGATGAGACGCGTGGCCGAGCCAGAACTCAAAGGCGGGGTGACGGGACGCCAGATGCTGTGCGCCGCGTCACCAGGCCGCCCGCCTTCGAGTTGTGTAGCTGAGGGAATCTTCAAATCAGCATCGCTACAGCGGGTGTGAGATAAGGCCTTTGAAAAGAGAATTAGAAAAAACATGTCCTGCATGTGCCAATAACTGTGTGACAACTCTAAAAAAGCAAACAGGGAACACCATAAATGAGGGGCCTAGCAAAACACTACCACGGTCACGACTTTGATGATCCTGTGAGTCCAATCTCATTTCCCCAAGTGCAGTTGAGGGTGAATCAAATTTTCCGTGTCAGAGTCTTCACCAGGGTCCCCCAGCTGCCAGCCTGCCACGAGGAATTCAGCAGTTGTCTGCCCGCCTCCCCCTCCCCCTGCCTAACAGGGAACTGGTCTCGTGGGACGCTGACTGGGCCAGCAGGAAGGAAGAGAAGGTTCCACCACGAGGGATTCAACCACTTGACATAATGAAAAGAGGAGCCAGAACAAGGACAAGAAGCAAAGAGCGGGTGGGTGGCTGGAGGTTTTGGCCATGAAGAATCTCCAGAAAGTGAGGGTTGCAAGAAGATGCAGAAAACAGAAGCACCGCCAGGAATTACAGATTTAATCTTCGTCAAGTGACAAACATTGAAATTTCTTTTTTAATACTTTTGGACTGGACCACTTGGGTGGTGGCTACAATGAGGTTCTATATAAGCACCGTGCATTTCTACTATATTGGAAAGTGGATTAACTTGGTGGTATCAATTTCCCCAATCATCAGCTCTCAAACATACCCAGAGACCTCAATCCACACTACCAGAAGTAATACTTAACTGAAGATAGCCTTGAAAAATCACCCCAGAACCTCCTGAAATCAACAACATGTCTATCTGAAACTAAAATCTGATCTGTGATTCCCTCAAACTATATATGGCAGACTAGAACTACCAAAAAAAAAAAAAAAAAAAAAGCTACTGTTTTTTGTGGTAGAATTCTACTTAGATTTTTTTTTTCCATTCTCTATAATGTACCAAAGCTTAAATAATTCAAACATTCAAACAGGAAACCAAAAAGAAAAAAAAAAAAACCAACTGAAAACAAAACTAAAAGACACTGAAGGGCCGGAAGCTGGGTGAGGACGCAGACAGCAGATCCACCGGGAGCCTGGGAGCCCCGGGCTCGCTCCCATGGACCTCATCAGTGTCTGGTTGGCCTCCCAAGCCTCCACGGCTGTCCCAGGTCCTTTTCTGCCTCCACTTCCCCACACCGTCTTCCCCACTCCCTTTCCCAATCTTATGCAGCAGAGCAGTGCATGGGGCTCTCTCTCTCTGCACAGCTACCCCGGCGCCTGTGTCTAGCCCGGTGACTTTCTTCTGAAGTGGAGGTGGCAGATCAGGGCTACCCAGTGGGCCATGGAGGGGGAAACTGGCCTGACCTAAAAGGCAACTTAATTTCGATGTTTGAGACATCAAAGTGAATGAAGATATATCTATACATTAAAATCATCTTGTTAAGAAAATTTAAGGTAAAAAATACTAAATTTAATGTAATAAATACAATAGGTATTTCTACCTGCT